GGACGGACGGACGGCCGGCCGGCCTGGGAGGACCGGGGGGGGGGGATCGGCAGGGGTCCGGCCCACCCACCCATTACGCTTCTTCGCCCCACCCCCACAACTCACAACTCGCTCTTGCCGGATTTCTCCCAGTTGCGGATCCATTCGGCCGGGAGCGCCGCCGCCACCATCGCGGATGTCGCCGCCGCCATCTTCCCCCTGTGGCGCGGAGGACCCGGATGCCTGAACGACGACGGGCCCTGCGAGGTCAGAGGGGACGGCGGAGAACGGCCGCGCGGGGCACGCCGGGAAAGCGAGCCCCGCATCGCGCAGGAAGAGGAGGGAAGGAGGGAGGGAGGGAGGGAGGGAGGAGGAGGCGGAGCAGCAAGAGGTGGTGGTGTAGGAGGAGGAAGAGGAAAGCGGCGGCGGCGACGTCAAACAGCAAACTGCAAGCCCTCGCTCTCCACCCCAGGGAGCCGAAGCGAGGGAGGCGGAGAAAAGAGAAGTCTGCGGTAGGTGAACCACAGAATCAATCCTCAGCCCCAGAAGCTGCGTTTCGTTCGCTTCGCTGTCCGCTACATGCGGCGCCTTTAACACGCGGTTGGTTGGACGGCCGGACAGGTTGTAAACCGGGTTTAGACAAGCCGTCCAGGTTGTGCGGAGTCTAGGTTCGGTCATAGTGGTTGTCTGGATTTTGAAGCCCCCGCCCCCTCCCATGATGGGGTGGTCCGTTATATCAGAGGTGGGTCTCGACTTGAAGGACTTTGGAGTGAGTTAGGCTTCTAACACCCAGCAATTTGCTGGGCTTTGTGGAGGGGAGAATTCTGGGAGTGGAAGGAGTGGGGTGGGACTAGATGACCTCTAGGGTCAATTCTTAGGCTTCTTAATCTGTTTAAAAAAATAAAAAGTCCAAACCTCGTAAAACCTGGTTTTGCAAGATTGCGTTGCATGTCCCTAAAACCCGGATTGAGGTCGGATCGGTGCGGGGTTCAAATCCTGCCCCCCACAACGCGAGCAGAAGAAACCATGGTTAAGGTCTTTTTAAAGTTGGCTAGGACTTAGCATGATGGGTGAATTGACTTTTTTGGGGGGGTGGGGGGAGCTGCGTGTTTGCCAAAAAAAAAGGCATCCGGACAGGGTCTCTTTTTCGCATTCCAACGAGCCCATCCTGACTCTCCCTGGCAAAAGCAGATGCCTAGTTGAAGGGTCCCCCGTGGGGCTTGGCAATCCAAACGAGCCCTGCATCATGTCTGGGGTGGGGGAGGCGGGAGAGGAAGCATCAGTTGGGTGGGGGAAGGACTTTCTGACCAAGCAACCCCCAAATTTGGGCTCCAAGATGATCTTAGGGCATGATCTACTCCAACCCGTGATTCCTTTTTGCATTTTTTGCAATCCTGAGGTTGAGATTCCCCGTCATCCAGGTCCAGGTTGTCCCAAGGGTGCTTGTTTTTTTCAGGAGGCAACTGGAATTTTGTTTTTGTTTTCTTTTGAAGATGTTTCACTTCTCCTCCAAGAAGCTTCTTCAGCTCTGGCTGGAGGATGGGGAACGGAAGGATTTATATTCCTTGCAGAGAGCTGGTCCTTTGTGTCCTTTTTAGAGGGCCGTTGAAGCGCTTGGAAGTTGGGAAAATATCAAACTCCTGAGTGCTTCAACGTAATCCTTCCGTTCCCCACTCTCCTGTAGAGTTGAAGAAGCTTCTTGGATGAGAAGTGAAACCTCTTCCAAAGGGGGGGGGGGAAACAACCCCAAGAAAGTCCAATTGCCTCCTGAAAAAAACGAGTCACATTTGGGAGAATCCTGAGGTTGCCATTCCCAAGACAGGGCTCAACTCAGGGTTTGGGACAAGGGTCGAGTGGGGTGGTGGGGTGTTTCCTCTTGCACCATCCACTAATTCGCTTCCGGACTGCCACGAGAGATCAGCGTGGCTCTCTCTCCACTTGTTCCATTGCAGTGGCGCTTTGCAGCCGGGATTAGAATAGAATTAAGATTGTGAATAGAATTCCGAAATAGAATAGAATAAGGAAAGACAATAGAATATAATAGAATAAGGAAAGAGAATATAATAGAATAAGGGAATAGAATAGAATAAGGAAAGGGAATAGAATAGAATAAGGGAATAGAATAGAATAAGGGAATAGAATAGAATAAGGAAAGAGAATAGAATAGAATAAGGAAAAGGAATAGAATAGAATANAGTCCAACCCCCTGGCCCAAGGCAGGAGACCTTATACCCACCCCTGATAAACAGTTGCCCTATCTTTTTTTTAAAAAAACCTCCAGTGATGAAGCGGCCACAATCCCAGAAGGGCAGCTGCTGCTCCATTCATTCGTCAGCGAGGAATTAATTACATCTGTTAAAACAACCCATAATAGGCTGGTGCTTCTAGGCCAGCATCGATTATTTAATTATTTTAATATAAGACCATTCTGGAGAGATTATTCTAGGCCTGATGAGGGATGTTCACCGATCTTGCCGAGGAGGGCTGATTTAATTTTTTTCCCCCTATTAGAGAAATGGGAAGGGAACCTGGAGGTCATCTAGTCCACCCCTGTCTGCCATGACAGCATCTCTAACCGCAAAGGTGTGACACCTGCTTTAAAAAGCAGCTTTTGTATCTGATCTCTCCCCCCTCCGCCCCCTCCCAAAAAATCTACGTTGATGTCATTTCATAGAATGTGGGACTGGTAGAGAGTAAGGGACCTCGGTGGTCATCCAGTCTGACCCCACGCAGGAACTTGAATAATATGGAAATATATGGAAGGGGCCTGGAGGGTGATTCCCTCCCCCCTAAAAATCTACTTTGGTGTCATTTTGTAGAACGTAAGACTGGTACGTCCTCCCTCCCTCCCTTCTTCCCGTCTTTCGTTCATTCTTTCCTTCCTTCCTTCCTCCCTCCCTCCCTTCTTCCCGTCTTTCGTTCTTTCCTTCCTTTCTCCCTCCCTCCCTTCTTCCCTCCTGCCCACCCTTCTTTCTTTTTCTTTCTTTCCTTCTTTCTTTCCTTCCTTCCTTCCGTATTTTTCTTTTTCCTTTTTCTTCCTTCCTTATTTCCTTCCTTCTTTTATTCTTTCATTGTTTTGTTCTTTCATGTTTTCTTCCTCCCCCCCCCTCTCTTTTTCCGCCCTCCCTCTCTTCCCTCCTCTCTCTCCCCCTCTCTCTTTCTTTCTGTCTTTTGTTTCCTTTTTCTTTCTCCCCTCTTTCCTTCCTTTGTTTGTTCCTTCCCT